CTACCTTTGTTACATACATGATCAAACTACTACGTAAAACATATATAGAAATCCTACAATACTACTAAACACAATAATTTGTAACAAGAAAAAACATGGCCCCTTCAAAAGCCACCGAACTCGATATCCAAATCCAAAAGCCATTGAGTTTAGATGAAGAAGAGGAAGCTAATTATTCATATGGAATTCAAATTTCTAATGCTTGTGCCCTTCCTATGGTCCTCAATGCGGCCATTGAGATCGGGGTGCTTCAAATCATTAATGATAAAGCAGGTCTCAACGGGCTAATGCCCGTTGAGATAGCTGCTCAGGTTCATGCTAGGAACCCTGAGGCACCCGCCATGTTGGATAGGATGCTTAGGCTATTGTCCACGTATTCTTTAGTTAGTTGTACCACAGTCACCACCGCCGATGGTGGTGTTGAAAGGCGTTACAAGCCTACGTCTATGACTAAGGTCTATGTTCCTGATGAAGATGGTGTTTCATTGGCTCCTAACTTGAAGTTATTTACCGATAAGGTCTTTCTTGAAAGCTGGTTAGTTGTCATTTTCCTTTTTTATATCTTCTTATTATTCTTATTTACTAATGAGAAAACATTATTAGGATAAGTGTTTAATTTAGATAAATTTTGAAAAAAGAAAATATGTGGTTCGAATATTATTTTTTTTCGTGTTTTTCCCTTGCATAAATCCTTGCATATATGCCGCATTATTAGTATGAGGGTCTAGTTATCTTTATAAGGAGCCAAAAAGTACAGATATTCTTAAAAAAAAAAAAGATTAAAATAACACTTATGAGTTATTATGACCTATTATTAAAATATATAGATCATATTAATCTATAATAACTTCCAAATTTAACCATGTCCAATTTAGCAAATATATTTTCTTCTTTCTTTCTATTTGAATATTTTGTTAGATTAATTAAATAGTTGAAGTATATCATAATATTATGTGTACTTCAGTTATAAAAGCATTTTGAACTTTGACATTTAAATATTGTACGGAGTATTATAGATTTATAGACCTTTATTCATTGTTAAAGTACCATTATGGACACAATATAATAATAATAATAATAATAATAATAATAATAATAATAATATCGACTTATCAAGTTCACCTAACTAATTAATTATGCCTCTTTAAAAATAATCACTCAAAACTTGAGGGAATCATGACCTACCCATGACCCTTAATTTCCTCTTCCTTAGCTTAAATGTCTTACCAATTTACCATTTGTTTGTCTTCTTGTAAGATAATTATAAACTTGCCTGTCCAAAAAAAAAAAAAAAAAAAAAAAAGAAGAAGAAGAAGAAGAAGAAGAATTATAAACATGAATATTTTTTATACACAACAATCTCGACATAAAAAATTGATTTTACAAACAAATACTCCTTACTTCATATATAATTACAAAAGGCAACGCCATTATTCATTTTATTCCTATAGCTTTACCTTCATTAAGACCTAATCTTTGTAATGAAATTTCCTTAGCTTATAGATATATATCACGTTAATAAAAATATAATACAATAAGTCAATAAGTATTTGAAGATGAGATTAAGGAAGACCTACAATTAATGAATTAAATTGGCCACTATTTTTATTTCATTTTTTCCACTTTAATAATTTCTATTCTCCGACAATTCAAACGTCAAAGAGAAAAGTTTTACGCAACGTGATTGCTCAAGATCAACCACTCAATATAAATTAGTTTGGCCCATACATCATATTCATATATATCCCTATTACGTTTGTCTTTTACGCATTATACTCCGTATAAATGTAAATCTTTTTGTTTAACCTTTTTTTTTTATTTTTTCTATTTTTATTTTTAAGATGATGCAAAGAAAATTACACACTACATGTCTACATTAATTAGGTGGCTTCGGTTAGTTGTTCACCAGCCTAATCCGTATTCTGTATTATTAATTCACAATTATGAACCTTGACAATTGAAACTTTGAAAGAGATGAGTCGCATACATTATACACATTGGAATTTTGTTACATCATGGGACAATTAAAGCCGATATAATTAGTATCGTACATTTGTAAGTAATATCTAAAAGATGACATGTGTGTATGCAGAGTCTTGTACTACTTTTAGCGGATTCTGATTTATAATATTCCTACAACATGCCTAACGTTTTTTTTAAAAAAAAAATAGGGGCAAGCTTAAAGATTCAGTATTAGAAGGAGGAATAGCATTCAACATGGTGCATGGGATGCATGCATTTGAGTACCCAGGTGTGGATGCAAGGTTCAATGAAGTGTTCAACAAGGCTATGGCTCAATCAATTATGTTTGTGAAGAAGATTTTCAAGAATTACAAAGGTTTGGAGAACTCCAATGTCCACAAACTCGTTGACGTTGGTGGAGGTCTTGGCCACTCTGTTGCTTTCATTACATCTCAATACCCTTCCATCAAAGGCATCAACTTCGATTTGCCTCATGTCATCAAAGATGCCCCTCCATACCCTGGTATATCACCATACATTGCTATGCATCAAGTATACTATTTTCTTAATATTTTTGTACCTCGACTTTCAAGAACATAACTTATTTATATGGTAATAATATGTACGTACTTTTTAATTTGTAGGTGTGGAGCATATTGGTGGAGATATGTTTGAAAGTGTGCCTGAAGGAGATGCAATCTTTCTTAAGGTAAGACTATCACAATCATATTCATATACTTTTAAGTGTAAATTGAGTTATGAAATCTTAGATTTTCGAGGTGGTACTTAAATTAGACTTCGAATCACATCCATCCACATCACTATTATTTATCCCTTTTCTTTATGGGTTAGTAAAAAATAATATTCTACGTACATTTTTATAATACCGGTGAATTGAAATAATCAATCTCGATCATTAACAATGTGTATCTTAATAAGATATGAATGAAGAAACTGATCGACATTAATATAATGTATAATTTTTGTACGTGTAGTGGATCCTTCATGATTGGAGCGATGAACGTTGCTTGATATTGTTGAAGAATTGCTACAAGGCCTTGCCAAAGGACGGGAAGGTGATCGTGGCGGAGGCAATTATCACGGATGACCCAGAGAAGACAACTTTTGCACGAGCCATAAGCCAAGTAGACTTGTTGATGATGACACAAAATCCAGGAGGGAAAGAGAGGAGCAAGAGGGAATTCGAAGCCCTAGCCAAAGGAGCTGGATTTACATGCTTCAACTTCCAATATACTACGCAGGGTTTTTGGATTATGGAATTCTACAAGTGATTTTGTGAATTTGCTACGCGAACATTATTCTAAGGGATTGGGTATTATTAATATGTAACATTCGTTGTGATATTAATTAGTCTCATTTCATCAACTAGTTGAAATGTCAAAATAATTATTACGTGCATTTGTATTTATTTATTACCTAAGAAATCTTTGTATACTTTTGTGTTGAAAAACCTTTTACAAGAGTTAATTTGTATCTCGATCTTGACATAAGTATAACTTTCATCATAATTTATTCAGTTACTTATTATATACTTGAAATGTCATTTCAATTTAACAACATATGTATAATAAAGTGGTAAAGTAATTCCTTTCAATTTTTTCAAAAAACGTAAATCCTTTCAAAAAAAAAAAAAAAAGAAAAAGAAAAATGGTAAATAATTAAATCAAGGATACATGCAGACCTCTTCTTTCATTAAATTAAGGTTACCATGAGGTTTTATGTAACAGACTAGTGAGCGACTGAGAGTGTATGATCCAAATGACATTATATGACCCAATATGCATTCCCTATCATATCATCTCTTGTATTTTAGACATTGGGTCATGAAATCTACGGAAATTGTTTGATTATGTGTACAACCATATGAAAGTCAAGACGCTATTCTTAACTGTCAAAAATAATAGGTGTATTTTTTGAAGGATGAGATGTTTAATTTTTATGCCTTCCACGTGGACCTGTCAATATTTGGCCCAACTAGCAACCCCGGCCTGTTTTTGTGGGTCTTGAACAAATTTTTTTTTACTAATAACCTGATTGCATTTAACTCGTAGATTTACGAGTAAAACCCAACCCGCTGACACAATTTTTTTTTTCTTTTTTTTATTTATTTTTATTTTTTATAAATACGAAGTAACATTTATTAGAAAGTTAATGTCTAGTTTATTGATTAAATTTGATCGCTTGTCTAACTTTGACGACATGCATTTCTCTTCCTCAAGTATCTATGATGTATCTCATATATCTCTTGCTTAGATTCTTACCAATCACCTCCTAATCAATCATCGACCTATACGACCATATACCGATTGCACCCGCATAAGTGCATAACCCACATCATTTGTCATGCCACTAATTGATAGATCTACTGATATTATTTCAAGAGATACTATACTCCACATATATAATATTGTTGACCTTTTTCTTAAATTTTGTGATGTTTAAAAGTTTAATAATTAATTTTGTTATCAATTTTTACTAGCTAGGAATTCTACTGAAATTGTGACGATTTAAATTAAATAGCAGACATGTAATGGATAAAAATAATATTGATGAGAATAATGTTTGATTGAAAATTAAGATTAACCAAAAACAAAATAGGCTTTAAAAATTAGAAATTTCTTAATTAGCTAAAAAAGGTTGTTATAAACCCGTTGCATTTACCCGAATCCAAAACTTTGAGTTAAGGTTGAACATTTCTTAAGCTCGTAACCCGAAATAATATGAGCTGAATAACCAATGACCCAAAATGACCCGACCCGAATGACCGGCGATGCCAAGTGGTCCGAACCAAACCACCCGATTGACAATTCTACTCTAACGTATATCAAAAAGGTAAAAGGGAAATTTCCTTGGACGATCAACCTTTACTTACCAACCCACTACCATGTCAAATGCGGAGTACTGCACTAACATCAAGTGGTGACAATAAGTGACAACTAACATTAAGTAGAACAACTAACATGTCTGCCTTAATAATTGGCTAGACTACTTTATAAACTCTTATTGATCGACCAATTGGAGTAGCACTATAAATACTCCATAATTCCTCCTAATATTCCTTACACCAATATTCAATTCCACAAAACAAACATATACACTTACTTACAAGTGGATTTTCCAATACAAAATAAATGGCTAACGAACTCAACGGGCAAACCAAAAATATGTACACTACTCTTACCAACGGGTCACTAAACGGCGACCACTCGAACCACGGATCGAAAGCGAAAGAGGAGGACGAAGAGTCCTACGCTTACGCCGCTCAAATTCTAAACTCATGTGTCCTTCCCATGGTCTTGAATGCCACCATTGACTTGGGGGTGCTCCAGATCATCCAGGATGAGGCGTGCTCTAGCAGGCTATCACCCGCCGAGTTGGCATCCAAGATCAAGGCCACAAATCCTGAAGCTCCAACCATGTTAGATCGGATGTTGAAGGTCCTAGCCACTTACTCTGTAGTTAGTTGCACGGCCGTGCCCACCGCTGATGGTGGAGTCCAAAGGCGGTATGGTCCCGCGCCTGTGACTAAGTTCTTTGTGCCTGATCAAGATGGGGTGTCATTGGCACCTATGTTGAACTTAGTTATTGACAAGGTCTTCCTTCAAAGCTGGTTAGTTCTATTGCATACTCTTAATATGGACCACTTACATTATATGCATGCCATTCATTTTGCATGATTTGCGTGACTTTATTTTAATTCAATTTTCTTAGCACAAACTATATCAAACTAAGATTAGACAATTTTCATCATGAGATAGCTGTTGTGATTATGCTTCTATTAGATTCAAACGTTTTGTTGATTCTAATTTGTTTTTAATTGAAATATTTTGAGTTTTGAAACTATTTCACAATTTTCTTTAATAGTCTTTTGTATTATATCTTCAAAATATATTTTTTTTAACAATAAATTTTACATGATAATTAGAAATACCCCATACATAGACATACTTGAATAAATAAATGTATGTGTCATTTAACGAATAATTGAAATACTCCATAACACACTAAAAAAAAATGATGATTAGGTGGACTCTTTTAAGCAAAAAGATCCAGAGATAGTGGAGTAAGCAGGAAAGTAGAAAGTAATTAATTATCAGATAAGTTGGTCATCAATCCACAACACGCGTAGTAATTAACCAATAATACAATTAAGTCAGTCAGCCTTCTTAATCATCTCACAAACATTCAAATAAATCCACTAATAATGAGTAATTTAGTACTAGTAGTAGTACTGTAGTAGGACTAAGAATAGTATTACACACTTCCAATTAATGGCCTAATTGTCCACATGACTGCCAAAGATAAGTCCTTGTCGTCTAACATAACCACTTCATTTTCTTCCATATGTCTTTTCCAATTTCCCCTCTAATAATTGTGGATACCAATTAGAAAATTATACCACTAATGTATTTTTTTTTCCATTCAAAGAGACGTACCAAACACGCTGCCATCATAAATTTTTTTTTTTTTTTTTTTTTTTTGTAAAAAAAAATATAAAGTACATAGTTGTTAAGCCTGTATGTTGTCAGATTAACATTGTTATCGTTTAATCAAAAACATGCTACTAGTAAATAACAATTTTTGCTTAATGTTTTTGAATGCTTAATAAACATTTTTGCTTTTCGCTTTTTAATACATAGTCAATCCTTAGGATCACGTTATTTAACATTAATTTAAACCTTTTTTTGGTAATTTTTGTAGGAGTAAATTGAAAGAGACGGTGTTAGAAGGAGGGATCCCATTCAACAAGGTACATGGAATGCATGCATTTGAATACCCAAGTGTGGATCCAAGGTTTAATGACATTTTCAACAAAGCAATGTATGATCAAACAACATATACCATCAAGCTAATACTTGACAAGTACAAGGGCTTTGAAAACATCCGACAACTTGTTGATGTTGGTGGAGGTCTTGGCCATAGTATTCATGCCATTACATCTAAATATCCCTCTACTAAGGGTATCAACTTCGATTTACCTCATGTTATCGAACATGCCCCTTCGTTGCCTGGTATGGAAATTAAATATAAACTAGTGTAAAATCTTAAATTATTTACCTTGTATATGTTTAGATTAGTCCAGTTCTTTAATGTTTCATAAATAATACCCCTTTGTTGCAACTAAAAAAAAAATTGAGGTACTATGTTCGATTAAATTAAATAAGGCGGGGTGGTAGGGAAAGTTTTCAAGGGACATTTTAAATAAAATTTCAATGATATCATTAATCTATTTTTAGGGTATACGATTGAAACATTGACTTGATATATAATTATCTTTAATTTTCAGGTATAGACCATGTTGGTGGAGATATGTTTGAAAGTGTTCCTAAGGGAGATGCAATCTTCATGAAGGTAAATTATAAATTTGTGGTCACATTCATTTGTTACATACATTAGGTTTATGTATTATTTCCAATGGATGAATAAAATTGTAATCTATGTTACAGTGGATCTTGCATGACTGGAGTGATGACCGTTGCCTAACGTTGTTGAAGAACTGCCACAAGGCCTTGCCGGAGAATGGTAAGGTCATCGTCGTGGAGACAAACATCACGGATGAGCCAGAGACGACGGCCCTAGCAAGAGCCATTAGCCAGTTGGATGTAAGCATGATGACACAGAATCCAGGAGGAAAAGAGAGGACTAGGAGAGAGTTTGAGGCCCTTGCTAAGGCAACTGGTTTTGCTGGTGTCAAGTTTGTTTGTTATGTCTCGAACTTTTGGGTTATGGAATTTTACAAATGATTTCAGAAATTTGTTGGAATTTGACAAAAAAAAAAAGATAATAATATCAAGTATGTAAGCATTTCTTATTAATGCAATGAGATAATGGAAGTGTAAGTGTTAGAGGATCATAGAATCTATTTATGGGCCATTTGGTTCGCGCGGGGGAATCGGAATGGAATGAACAAAGGGAATGTAGGAGAATGGAATGAAACCCTTTCCAAGTACTGTGTTGTTTGGTTTTCAATAAACAAAGGGAATCACCATCACCACCACACATCCCCTTTCTTCACTTTTCCAGCCACCAGGAGCCACCCCATCGCCCAGCCACAACGTCGACGGAAATCGGCAGCCCTGGGCGCACCTCCCCCACCCCTCGCAGCCCCTAACCTCCCCGGAAAAAACTTCCACCACCACGCAAAAACCCTAGAAAACACCATCCCTCCCCTTAAAAACGCCGGCCAACCTTCCCCCGCCCTCGAAACCCTAGCCGCTAGGGTTTCGAGGGTGGGGGGAAGGTCGGCCGGCGTTTTTAAGGGGAGGGATGGTGTTTTCTAGGGTTTTTGCTTGGTGGTGGAAGTTTTTCCGGGGAGGGGAGGTGTTTTCGAGGGGAGAGGTGGGGGAGGTGCGCGGGCTCCGGCGAGTTGTGGGGGAAGTGCGGCGAGTCCGGCGGTGGGGACTAGGTCCGTGGCGAGGTGGTTGGGCTAGTTCCGGCAAGTACAATGGTGGTGGGTATGGTGGCTAGGGAAAGGGAATGGGAAAGTCTGGGGGGTGGGGAATCAATGTAGACTAAAAATGGGTGAACTCAAAAATAAAAATGGGTAAAGGGAATCAAAAAAGTGTCAAACAAACAACAACAAAGGGAATGATATCAGTTCATTCCGATTCCCTTTGATTATTAACCCCAACCAAACGGCCCCTTAATTTAAGAGCATTTGTGTTTTTTAGTGATTCTCTAATTCAAGTTTTTTGTAATTGTATCATGGGTTGGTATAAGTGTATAACTTATCTAGCTCCGCCACTGCTCGAGTGCTCATTCTAGGTTGTATTTGTGTTCCCATGATACATATCAATAAAATGGTAAAAGGCATGAAGTTGGCGAAATAAACTTTGTAAAATCATGATCCATTCATTACTCAAGAAAATAGCATGGAATATTATTGGTATTATGTGATGCTCAAAGCAAAGGGTTTTAGAAGAATATAGGTACAAGAGTGCGTGTGTCTTATGATCCAAGGGAGAGAGGGTAAATTACAAGAGTTTACTTAATGTTAGAGAAATATGAGTACAAAAGAGTAGTAGGATTTTCCATTTCAAATGCAAAAAAAAAATTGCAGAATCTCTGTTCAACTCTCTTGGGCATACATCCCCAAATTTCCTGCTAACTTTTCTTCTTGTTGATATTCTTTTAGCTACTTCCAATTATTTCCTTGTATGCGTTCTTGATTTTTTGTAGCAAAGCTTCCCTGTAACATAGCGTAAATGATTGAATACGATATCATAATTGGTACAAGATTGAAGGAGTGCTAATATAATTTGATCTAAACAGAAATTTACCGGTCAGGCTTGAACACTAAATTCCGGTATGCAAACCACTGCATAATTATACAAAAAATAAAATGCTCAATTTAGAATTAACATGATTTTAGTATAATAATAACATTGTAATCATATGAAAGTAATTAGTTGATGAATTTTGAGAGTACCCCCGTGTAACCAATGCCTACGAGCTCAAAAATGCCAGGGAACAAAGGAAGTCTGTCAATTGCCTGCAAAATAGCAAGTTATTTACCCATCTGTTAGTACGGAGTATGTTTTATAGTACTATTATTCCGTATTGACTAAGAATGTAGTCAGTCATTACACTTATTTCATGCATTCATACAAAAAATGACTTCAAACATAGTTTCAGACCTTTCACTCTTTCAGTAATAAAAAGGCTTCACAACGTATGGGTCATTCTAATACTCTGCCATCCTGTTTTTTTAATACCCTAGTTAGCCATGGGTGCACCTAGTAGGCTAGTATCATCCAGTTCGATTCTAAGTTATAAATGTTCATTGTAACATAATAAGCCGTATCTCAACATATATTAGCTAGTCACCTCTCAATTATATAACAAGTCACTGAAGATTAGTTGGTCCTTGGTCGCACCACCAAAATACTTCATTTACAATATACAGGTTCAAGCCGTGCAACAAATCACTCTTTCGATAAATGAATAGAGATAGAAATGACTCACAGAGATCATGCCAGCAGAACCCCAGAGAGCAACACCACCAGCTACAGCTAGTGAGCTCACTGCATACTTGTCTTCGACTTTGTCCCACTGTAACAATTCATGCACCCATAAAATGTATTGCAAATGTTACTGCTTGTAAAATCATATTAATTATAATTGAATAGAATAAAAGAGAATTAAAAATCATACAGCATTTTGGATAGTTTTCAAAAGCTCTGTTGTGTCAACTGCTGCAGGAACTTCTTCTTCAGCAGTCGATGTTGTTGGGGTTACTGCTGCGGGTGCTACTGCTGCTGCTGGCGCGTCCCCAGTTGCCATGGCAACAACATTCCTAGCAATCTTTCGGCCTATATTTACAATAATATATTTCATTGATATTCGTTGTATAATCTAAGGCATCAAATGTATGTAAAAGTAAATCAAAAAAGGTCAAATGCCTAATTTCTAGCCAGGAAAAGAAGTGTACAACTTGTTAATACTGTGTTAAATAAGTGATCATTCTTATTCTCAAACATAAGTCACTTAATCTGTTAGAAGACCAACTCAACCAAAAACTTAAGCTGATGGTCCGATATATCCTATCTCTAACATAATCATATAGGTTGGGTCAGATACCTTAAGTCCAAATAATGAATAGTACTCATGATCAACCATGTGTCTTGTACTTGCGTGCTTTCACTAAGTAGTTAGGTAAGGCGATTGGTTTCCATGTTTTAATCGGCTATCATTTGCTTGAATGATAGCCGACCCCAAATCATTTTAGGATTAAGGCTTTGTTAATGTTGTTGTACCAATTGTTTGAATGCGTTTGAAAATTTTAACAATTATAGCAAACTATTTAGGGAGTATGCAGGACACAAATAAAACAACTGGCAATTATAATCTAGTGATATGCTACTACTGTAGTTTGTACAATTGTTAATGTTACCGTGCCACTAGACACTAATGAAGTATGTACATATATAATGATATAAGAAAATGTTCAAAGTAGTAAAATTGATTTAAAAAAGGAAGGAGGGACATACAGTAAGAAGTAGTCTTGGAGATGCGGTTTTGGGAGTGGACAGGCAGCGGAGGGAGGGTAGGAAGGGATACACATTGCGGCGAGGCGGAAGCCGATTGGCGATGAGTGGCCTTAGCGTCAACAAGGGCGGAGGAAGAAGAAAGTGAGACTGCATTGGTTGTGGAGGTTGCCATTTTTAACTAATTATACACTCCTACACCTTGTAACTTACTAATAGAAATAAATTTTTAAAAATCTTATGTAATGTTAGGCCACACAAAGTAGTGTTAATAAGTGGGAAAATGTGGAAGGAAGAAAACAAATGAATATTAATAGTGTTGATTAAATTTCCATCAAAAATCTAAAGTGTCTGGTGTTAAAAATTAGTGTTTGATGATTTTTAGAGTGAAAGGTGGAGATGCATTTTGTTTACAATACAAAGAATGGTAGAGAGCCACTCAAATGGCAAAGTAGTAATCTGGATAATGCTGACATGGATTTTTGGATAGGAGATTTATGGTGCATAATCTGGTAAATAGTTTACAGATGGACACTTTTAATTGGCTGAATACACCTTTGAAGATTTTGTGCTACACTTAATGAATTAATGTCACCATCTATTTAAGGTTTATGCTAATTTTTTTTGGTGGATTTTAGTGCTAAGATGTTAGAAGTCATTTAGGGTCTGTTCTCTTACGTTGAAATTCAGTTCAGTTCAGTTCAATTCAGCTCAGTTCAGCTCCTAATTTCCTTCGCTTATAAAATATTCATTTCAGTTCCGTTCAACTCAGCTCAGTTCAGCTCAGTTCAGCTCAGTTCGGTCAATGAGAACAGACCCTTAATTTGCCATAATTGAAATTTTTTAATGAAATACTATCTCAATAGCTAGTTTGTGTCGATCATCTTTATTAAGCCTGAGTTTGGTTTGTAAGTATGGTTTATCATGATGGTTGAAGCTTGTGACGTAAGATTGGATTTTATATTCTATTACTTCTATACTAAATAATAGCTAGCTTGTATTCTCACATCTAACATATCTAATTATCTACTCACATATCTACCATGACACACTAGTGGAAAAATAGCTATCCGTAACGGGCAAAAAAGGCCTATCCGTAACGGGCAACGGGCGTTACGTATGTCACCGTTACGGATAGCTAGTGTTATTTGTAATGGGCAGTGTCCGTTACGAATAACGGGTTATTCGTAACGGACATTTCAAGTGCCCGTTACGAATAATGGGTTATTCGTAACGGGCAGTTTGACTGCCCGTTACAAATAACCCGCTATTCGAAACGGACAGTTTGACTGCCCGTTACAAATAACTCGTTATTCGTAACGGATTGTTTGACTGCCCATTACAAATGACCCGTTATTTGTAACGGACTGTTTGACTGCCCGTTACAAATACAATTGAAGCCAAATTAAAAAAAAAAAAAAATGCAGCAGGTGATACTGCCAACATGCTATGATGCCAAATCTTTAATTACTATTATCAATATTTAATTGATTTCAAAAAACAAATTATCAATATTTAATTATAAAATCAATAATACAACTTTCACAAATGTCCAAATTGACTTTACAACAACTCGCTAACATGAGTCAAAAGTCTACTGCATAAATAATACTCCGTAATACAACATGAAAATTTAAATAAGCTTATATTCCTTAGTAGACTAAGAACTTGAAAGATAGAATTTTATGCTGTCTTGATGAAGCTTGCTTAACAAATTTTGTACAGCCATATCTTCCATCCTTTTTAGCAACGATTCATGATTTCTGTCCAAACTGACTTGAAAAAAAAAGGTTAAACTATTAGAATGGATGAAGTATATCAAATGAAAATGCGAGTTAAACAGGAAATATGGCACAAAGTGTACTGATTTGCTTATAACAACTAGCCTGTAGTACAATATTCAAGGCAAGTGAAGAGATAGATAAAGGAAAATCAAGTTAGTTATCACTTTACAACCAAGGGAAAATCAAGTAAGGGTTACACAGTTACCACAAAATCACTTATCATGCAAATTACTAATTCAGTTTGTCTACTTGTAGTTTACCAACCAATTGTCCAACTTTTTTCACGTGCTTTCATATAAAAAAAATCATTAAATGAACTTAAGCTATGTGTTTAGAGACGCATGATCGTCTAAACTAATATTGATACACAACAGTGATCTGAAATGTGAGCTAAGCCAAGTCCTACAAAAAGATCATTCTCACCAATACAGAAATATGAAACTAAATTAAGCATAACAGGTTAATTAGGAGTACAACATGTAGAAAACTAATTAAGACTATACAAGAGACTTGAAGGGGAGGGGGGAATAAAAATCAAATCAACCCAATTGAAAAACTATTTTATTCAAACCAATATATACTTCAAGTCTGCCTGAAATAAACATTGAAATTTGCAGTAATCAATAAGCCATTATTAATAATGAGCTTAGGATATTGGATTAAAACCAATAGAACCTTACAATACTAAAAATATTGACAAAAACTAATTAAAATCCATACATATTTCTACTTTACCATCACTATTTCGTGAAATTGAATATATAAACAACTAATAAAAAATATCTACATTGAAACTTAATAACCTGGAAATTTGAAGATCATCCTACACTATAAAAAATTAAAGAATAATAGTAGAAAGATTTATTAGAAAATCCAATGATAAAGTTGTTCATTTCATACCATATTGCACTATCAAAGGCCTAGGATTCAGAGTCAATTGGCTGTATAAGCTTTGGTATTATAGTAAATTTGTCATATTAAATAAATAAATAAAGAGAGTAAATTTACCATATAATCTTATACTCGTAGCATTAATACATGGCTCATGAAGCAATTACTTAAGAATTATGACGTTACATGAAACCAATCCAATAAGAAATAATGCAGCCTAGCACCTTGATCTATCCCTACTCCCTAGTTCCCTACTAATTCAAGCTAGAATACATACAATAAAATACTACAGTTTTCAAACAATGACATTTCAACATTGAATTCAGCATGTCAAAAACTGTACAGCTAGTCAGTTGCCCACACATACATCAACGAGCATACACAGCTAACTATAGAGCATTCATCAAAACAGACAGCTTATTGACTAAAGCCCAAGTAGCAACATTCAGGACAACAATTCATCAACAGTGGTTACGGGTAGAGTGAAATTACTTGTTGGATGAACCCTTGGCGGCATTGATGAGTTCATCACCAAGGCCCTCGAAAATGGTCTTGATGTTCATGAAAGCACTCTCACGAGCTCCAATAGTAAGAAGATAGATTTCCAGATTAACACGCCTTAGTGGAGAGATATCAACAGCTTGACGCCTAACAACACCAGGAGAACCAATTCTGGTTGCATCTTCTCTGGGTCCACTACATAAGACAACATAGTTTAAGTTCAACCATGAATTTCACTCCCTAGCACAACATCAACAGCAACAACAATAAACAATAATCAATTAATAATTCAACGGAAACATTGAGTCCAAGCTGTTAATCCATTTTGCTAATTCATTGCTAAATCATCATGTTCTTTTTGTACAATTTAATGATGATCGTTGGGTCCAAGGCTGGCTTGAATGATATCCACGTTGAACTCATTGTGAGATTATGTTAGTTGCCTCTTTTAATTACTTTTCTAAGTTGAAACATGGGTGGGTATTAGGTAAGCCTCATTATGTTGCACCAAGTTTTCGAAGTTAGTGGACTACCAGGAACTAATGTTAAATTGTTGATACAAGTTTTGTACATGGTCAATGGGTGGTCAGAATTACAGCAAACTACGATATGATCTCTTAAAACAAGGGCTAATGCTTGATTAGCAAATCCATGAAGACTCAAAACGCTATAGACAATAAGGTTTTTTTTTTTTGGAAACAATATAGACAATAAGTTTACATAAATTGAATCAATTAATCACATGAAAACGCTGAACAAGGACTACACCATAAAACATTGTCGAAACTAAAAACCATAACCTGAAAATTTCCTTCATCAAATTTGAAAGCTAAAATCAATCAAATTGCATAGAATCAACCACAATTTGAATAAACAAAGTCAAAATACAGTCAAACTAAAATCAATACACAAGTAAAGATCAGATTTGATTGCAAATCAAAACAATAATAAGCTAATAAAATTGTAAGAGAGGAAAAGAGTAGAGAGAAAATGCAAACCTGAGAAAGATTGAAAAAACCCCAAAACCATTAATGAAACCATCATTTCTACGACCTTCAATTCTTCATTATCAATATTAACCAATCCAGTCCTTAGAATAACCTTCCACTAGTGACTGAGATCCCTTAAAAAAAAAAAAAAGGCATCATATCAAATTAGATCCCAAATATAAGCTATAAATATCAAAATTCAAAAAAATAAATTAATATGGGTAACGAGATTCGTACAAAATCCCACACATATCAGCGATTTCTTCACCTGAATCATCATCATGACATCATCGCCATGTCCATTTCTAGGTAACGAGACTTGAACATCCGACATTCCAAATTGGGTCCATCGCCTGCCATTGATGCAATTCGGAGGAGAGAGAAAGAGGGGAAATTTGGGAATTGGGGTTTTTAGTGGGAGAGTTAGAGAAGAAGAAGATTTTGAGAAGGGTGGTGAATTACTGCTTCAGTTTGAGTGACGAGAAGAAAGAGAGAATGAATGAGGAGGAGAGAGGAGAAGAGAGACAGGATGAGTGGAAGGGGGTTTGACGGCTAAGGGGAGTGAAAGTTTGAAACCCTAATGGGCTTTCCTTATCAGCTTGACCAAGTATTCGTAACGGGCACATGGTGTCCGTTATAAATAACTAAGTATTCGTAAAGGGCACATGATGTCGGTTACAAATAACTAAGTATTCGTAACGGGCAATATTTTGCCCGATACGAATATTATATATTTGTAACGGACAGTTATTTTGACCGTTACGGATATATTTTATGTAACGGGCATAGCTTTGCCCATTACAAATAGCCTGTTACGAATGACAATTTTTTCATTAGTGACAACTAGGTGAATCAGCTAATATAACAACTAATTTTTCTGAACATGTCCTAAGTATGCATAAACGGAGGCCAAGGGGCTAAAGATTTCACTTTCAGTTGTGTTAAAATGCTTCCCTATTTTGGACTGAAAACATAATGATGATATGAATATATATGATCACCTATGAAAGGTTTTAAAGCCCACTTCCAAATTTCTTAGGCCAAAGTTGGGCCCTTTTGATCCAGGCCCTATATTTATTTCTGTGCTAATACTTTAACATTTTAAGATTGATATGTTTGGGCTTTACGAGTTTACTGGCTTGACTACTTTTGGTGTTTAGAGAGCCACAAGGGCGGGGGTGAGAATCGATCCCAGGATCTCCTGAAACCGGGAGGAAAACTCTAACCACTTGAGCTATCCCTCACTCTCATACTGGCTTGACTACTTCGTATAGGATGAGAAATGTTATGATAGTCTTAGTTTTTCGTTAACTTCTAAGAAGAAATCCTAACAAGTGGGTGAACTCGACTTGATGGAAATCCAAGTACTCATATCTAGTATTCTTGAGAGTGAGCTAGTAAAGGATTAAAGTTTTCTTCTGGATTCTAAGTAATTTTAGGATTGTTTTTTATCACTCGCCCTTAAAAAAAAAAAAAACATGTAACCCGTACTGATGTATGTCATTTGGTGGTATGGAGAAGCTATGATAGGAAAATGGGACAAAATCAAAGTAAATGATTACGAAACAAATGAGAAGGACCTCACAATGCCTAAGGTAAAAAAAGGTGATAGATTGACTGCTCTATGGAAAACTCTAATTTTGTTAATTTCAATTATGTAAAAGATACTTTAGATAAAAGAAGAGGGGTCGCAGAATTCTAGATTTGTAAAAGGTAAAAATGGTCCTAGGCTGTTGAGTTGTAGACATAGACATTGAACAAGTAATTAACAAATTTCGAGGTGAAATATTTGGGACTAGTTTTTTTTTTTTTTTTTTTGGGCAATAATTTGGGACTACTTTTATTTTAAAGGTGATAAAAAATCGGGCCGGACTAAGCCTTAACACAAATCTTGTGCCCAAACCCGTAAAAAGGTAGCGGGCTTGTCGGGTCAAATCGGGCTTTTTCAGGCCAAGTTCGGGTTTTTTTTAACTAAAAATGTGTTTTTATGCTTGTCCAAACCCCTCCTATTTTCGGGTTGGGCTAGCGGGTCGGGTTAATGTTGATCACCTCGATTTTATTTACAGTAAAAATTACTAACAATGAATTTTTTATATTTATTTATTTATTTTAATTGTTTTGCAAGATAAGTAATTGGGCCTTATGTTGGATCCCAAAGTCCAACGTTAATCTCACCCAAAGAAAAAATAAAACATCTATTGTGATAGTGGCGATAATTCAAATCCACATTCTTACTTGACTAAAAATATCATAACTTTGTGTTTCCCAAAAAAAAAATCATAAATTTAGATTCAATATTGAATATTCTGCCCTCAAATAATATGAGGTTGGGTTTGGACTTTGAAGTAAGTTAACCCTAGTTTTATTTTAATAATAATAATAAAGGCTAACCCTAATTTTTCCTATAATCAATATAACTCCATAACCATCTCATTCTTCATCCTATCACCTATTTTATGGTCACAACTAGTTGTGTATTTCCACATTATAGAACAACTTTTACCCTCTCTATATTTTAATAAGTGTTGCACTTCCTTTCATGGTCATTATTAGTTTGTATTTCCGTATCATAGAGTAACTTTTACAAGTAACTCAAGACTAGTTCAAACGTTCATCATCAATAAATATTTGAATTTTATCAACTTATACTCCTTGTAATAATGTTACAGTTATTCTTCAAAGTCAAGCTTTCAATTATTGATACATACATGAAAGAGAATAAATAATTGAGATATCTCAATTATTTGTGAATACAAGTACAAAACTTTTAATGCTAATATCAGGACTCTGAGAAGAAAGTTCATGAAAAAAAAAAGTCAAAGGAGACATACACTCCTCATAATTATCAATTTATTACTTATCAGTTATGTCAAATTAAACTCATTTTGAATATTATCAAGTTACTCCATATTATAGACTAGAAGACACTTTACAACACTGGACATGATATGAATAATTAGATTTCTAGATCAGCTAATTGATCGCTATAAATAATTACTTTTGTTTGCTAGTTAAATTAATTTTTTCTAACTAATTCTCTATACCGTAAGATTAATTGATTAAAATATTAAGCGATATTATTATTTCCACCACAATTCCAAGTGTAAAATGTAATACTGTAAAAACAAAAAAATTAAAAATTAAATTTTTTTTTTTAAAAAAAAAAAAAAAAAAAAAGGGGGATGGCAATACAAGTATATTGATTGATTTATTTTTATTTTTTTTGAAAGAATTTTGAGTTGTTTGACCTGTAGCTTTTATTCAATCTGAGAACTGGTATAGACAGTGCAGAAGATATGATTTTGAGCAACAAAGTCAACAGTGGCACGCTTCCATGAACACATGTATCAAGCGTGCGTTCAATGTCCTAGGAAATTTTCTAGTATACTGAATATACCATGCTACTTTGTACATTCGCTCCATTAATGGCTTATTATTAAATACTTTCTCTGTTCTTTTTAGTTGACACGTTTCTTTAGTCACGTTTGTCAATGCACTTATTCAATCATTAATATCTTTAATTATCGATAAGCAAAAATTATGAAAAGTTAATATCATAAAAGTATATAACGTGACGAATCAATCAAGATTCTACATGACTATAATTTTCATTACGTATAAAGCACAAAACACGGTCAAAGAGAGATGTGTGCATAGTGCTGAAGTCAAAACGTGTCAACTAAAAAAAACGAAGATAGTACGAACGAAGTGCTATGGAGTATTTATCACTTGTAAGAGAATTCACCAAGCTACTTTATATACTCCGTAGTTATATAGTGTGTGAATAATAGACTGTTCAATAAAAATAATTCTCGTTGTCACTATTAATCATATTTAGAGTTGTCAATTCGGGTAAACGGGTTGGATCGGGTTGGGTCAATTCAGATTAGTTCCATAACCTATGCGGGTCGGGTTTGGGTTGGGTCATGCTTGAGTCGGGTCACGTCGGGTCATACTTCTTATCGACTTTATTGGGTCGGGTTAATAACAGGTCGGGTTACATTCGGGTCCGGTGAACAATAGGTCGAGTTTAATTTGGGATTTCACGGGTTAAAACGGATTAGGGTAATTCTCGGATTCGAGTCGGGTTCGGTTCAAGTCAATAATTTGCGGGTTAGTATCAGGTCTGGAAATCTTGGGTTTGAGTCGGGTTCGGTTCAAGTCAATAATTTGCAAATTATAATTGGGTTGAGTCATTTTCAAGTCGGATCATTCTCGGGTCAAGTCGGGTTTGGTTCAAGTCAATAATTTGCGGGTTATAATCAGGTTAGGTCATTTTCAAGTCGGGTCATTCTCGAATTCAAGTCGGGTTATGTTCAAGTCAGTAATTTGCAGGTTACAATCAGGTCGGGTCATTTCCAAGTCAGGTCATAGACGGGTTCAACTAACTATAAATAAATAATTATCATTTTTATCAAGCTAGTTATTTCCTTCCCACTATAATATATATGGCAATATAATAGGGAACTATAGTCTATAATTTAAGAAGATAATTATCTCCTTTGACCATACAACAAATATATACTATATTTAACTCTTAAATTTGAGGATGATGCTCCTTTCTTTTGCTGGCCTGGACCGACTTGGTCTCCCAAGACAAAATGCTTTGATCAACAATAATAAGGTGGTCTAAATTTCATTTAAGGTGATTTGAAATCGGGTCAGGAACAATTTGGGTTGAATATAGGTCGGGTTAATAACAAGTCGTATTAATTTTGAGTCGGGTTAGTAACAGACCGGGTTTAATTTTTAGGTTGGGTAAGTAATAGGTATGGTAAAATTGGGGTTGGTTTAATAACAAGTCGGGTTGAATTTGGGTCAGATCAATAACAAGTGTGGTTGATTTCGGGTCGGGTTTGTAATAGGCTGGGTTAGGTTCGGTTCGGGTTAGGAATAGGTCGGGTTGAATTCAGGTTAGGTTCGTAACAAGTTGGGTTAAATTCGGGTTTTGACCGGTTAAAATAGGTTTCGGTCAATTTCGGTTCAAGTCGGGTTCGGTGCAAGTTAATTAAATTGGTCGTTGTAAACCGGTAAATCGGTGCAAGTTGTAAACCGGTAAATTGGCCGTTTAAAATAAATTGAATGGTTCCACTCACCCAATTGAACTCCCGGAGGATATTAGGGACCATGGTAAACATTTCGACAATTTTTATTTCCGGGCGAAAAAAGTAAAAAAATTCCAAAATTGAAGGCTAATATCCACGCTTTTTGAGAAATTTTGGAGGTTTCGGAGCCCGGTATCGAAAAGTCTTGAAATTCTAAGGGATACATATCGGGGTCATATAATGTCGTTTGAAACCATATATGATAATTATTTGTTGTCATAAATGTTCGTGGTAAGATTAAATTAATGAAATCGGTGCAAAGTTGTAAACCGATAATTTGGTCGTTTAAAGGCAATTTGGATAGTTCCAACCACCCAATTGGACTCGCGGAGGTATTAGGGACCGTGGTAAACATTTTGAGAAATTTTTATTACTGGACAAAAAAAAAATCAAAAAATTTCAAAATTGAAGATTTTAATATCCACGTTTTTTGAGAAATTTTGGAGGTTTCGGGGCACGGTGTAGAAAAGTATTAATATTTTAGGGGATACATCTCGGGGTCATATAATGCCGTTTAGAACCATATATATATGATCATTATATGTTGTCATAAATCTTCGTA